GGGGGGGGGGGGGGGCCTGAGCAGAAAGGTGAGACTGGGCGGGGTGTGGCTTAAGTTGAGGTGCATTGTGGGTGCTGCTTTCTCAAACTTAGGTCCTGGCGAAGGTCCATTGATTTATCTCATTTGATAAGTAGGGGACAGAGGACCAGAAGGACCATCTGTTGTCCCAATTCTCTCTCCCTGCTGTTATCTCCCTGTCCTAGGGAGAAAACTGAGCTCAGAGAAATTTGGAGACCTGTCTGAGGTCACACAGCTTAACAGTGACATAGCAGGTTCCCCAACCCTTGCCTGGCCTCCCATGCCCAGGGAGGTAGGCGTGGGCAGAATTTCATCTCTCCTCTGCACCCCCTTTTGGTGTTCTAGACCTAGAGAGCATCTACCTTCAGGACAGCCTCCTGAGTGGCCCTTCACAGGACGACAGTCTCCTAGCCTGCTCTCCTGGCCTCACCCTCGATGACGGCTGGCCCTCCCCAGAGGAGCCCCCAAGCCCCACCCAGAAGCACCGGCAGCGGCTGCCCGGGGCTCAGGGGCCTGACGTCGGCGGAGCCCACTTGCACGGCTCCCTGCCATCAGTGGACAGTGGCTCTCTCTCAGAAGAAGAGGATGAAGTGTTCTATAACTGAGGCCAGCTGGCCAGTCCAGTGTCTGCGGACCCTGCTGGGAGCCAGCTGCACCAGCGCACCCATCTAGCTGAGCATCTCTTGGCTCCTCAGTACAGACACAGGGTGGGGTGTGGCAGGGATGGTGGCCGTCATTCTTGTGGACCACTCAGTGCCTCCGTGGACCTGCCCTCAATCTTTGGAGGCCCCTGCTCTGTGCTTGGCCCCTCCAGGGTCTCTGCCCACAGCCTGCTCCAGGACTCGAATCGGATACCAAGGCAACAAGCCCCAGGAGAGCTGACAGTCGGCCCCCGGAAAGATGGGGAGGATCATCGACCTGGGTTCAGCCCCTCCCCAGTCACCCTGTGCATTTGTCTCATGGAAGGTGGGACCTTTTCTTCTGGTCATGCCATTCCTGGACTCTCTTCAGTCTCTGGACAGTCTGTCTGTCCTTCCCCTCTTATGTGGTTCTTCTGTGACCCCCAAGCTCCCCAGCCAAGAGGACCCACGTCTCCTCCCTCACACCCCCTTCCTCTCCTACAGAGATCTCTGATGATATTAAAGTAGTGTGTTCATTCTGGATGAACTTGACCGGGTCTCCCGGGGGAAGGCATGTTGCCGGGCCCTGGGTGAGGGTCTGGGGGGTTAAGGAGGGTTCCTGCCACCCACACACAAACACCTGAGGGGTTCCACTTTACAAGTGTACCGCAGTCGGGGAGACCAAGTCTGGAGGGCAGGACCACACACACACACAGATGACCTGGTAGGGACTCTTCCCTCCATCTCCCTGCTAAGGCATGGAGGCTGAGGGGCCCCAGGCCCAGCCTGTGAGCACCAGCTACCTCAAGGGCTTAACTTAGGCCAACACAAGGGGCCAAGCACAAACCCTTGGGGGAGAAGGTGGGTGAACAGTGGGTCTGGGGATTGGCTTTATTTTTATTTTCTCAGGAGCTGCTGGTTAGGAACAGATAATCCCAGAAGGTACGTCTACCAGAGTGATTTTTCTTTTTCTTCCAAACAAGAGATGTTGTCCTCTTAGGGTGGGAGAGCCAGAATGAATACGGAGCCCTGTTCAGGCTGGGTAGAGCTGCCTGCTGCTCTGAGTTGCTGCGCTTCACTGGAGGGACAGGGGAGGGAGGAGGGACGGGGCTTTAGCCTCCGGAGCTCTCAGCTGGCTTGGATCCCAAGGCTGGCTCACTTGGGGGCCGGTGGGTTGATCAAGGTGGAAATTGCTTTCTTCAACTAGAGTAGAGAAAAAAGGATGGAGGAGGAGAAGGGTTAGCGGGGATGGAGACACCTCTGATCCTCATCACTGAGAGCACCCCTTTAATGGCCAAGTCGGTACATTTGCTGGAGCCATGGCATAGTTAAGGGACACTGAACCCAGAGAGCGGCAGACTGGTCACTGGTGTCCCAGGCTCAGTGGCTACTCTAATCCAAGGGATGGGATTACATCAGCGTTCTGTGTAGCTTTGAAAGGGAGAACGTTGGGACCCCCACCTCCTCCGCTTTGCCCCGCCCTCAAGACTCCAGTACCTCCGCCCAGGACACGGAGCCCACAGCTCTGCCCTGTGATGTCACGAACAGCTTCTGCAGGGTCAGCAGCTCAAAGAGGCTGTGCGTCTGAAAGGGGAGTTGACAGGAAGTGTCGGAGTCAGGGAACACCCCTCTGCCCACACACCCTTCTCTGTGCCAGGTGAGTGGAAGACTAGAGCCCAGCCGGCAGTGTCTGCTCTGACCACTAGGGGGAGCCAGATTCCACGCGAGAAGCAAGGCTTTGGGGAGAAGGAAGCCTTTGGTCCAGGTAACCCAGCCTCAAGGAGAGACAACTTGGGACCATAGCTAGGTTCCTAGACTGTGTCTGTCACCCCCACCCCACCCCAAGTGCCTGCTTTTAGAGGCTAGATGATGTACCAGATGTCACACAAGGGGCCAGGGGGAGGGCCTCACATCGGGGTCCCTGTGTGATATTTACAATCTTTAAAAAAATTTTTTTTTGTTTAGTTTTTTAGACAGGGTTTCTCTGTGTAGTCCTGGAGTCGTCAGATTCGCTTTATAGACCAGGCTAGCCTCAAACTCATGGAGATTTTCTGCCTCTGAGTGCTGGGCTTAAAGGTGTTTGCCATCACACCCAGATTTTTTAAAATAATTTATTTACTTTTACTTTATGTGCATTAGTGTAAAGATGTCAGCTCTCTGAAGTTACAGACAGTTGTGAGCTGACCTGTGGGTGCTGGGAATTGGACCCGGGTCTTTTGGAAGAGTAGACTGAGACATCTCTCCAGCCCCAAATTTTTTTTTTTTTTTAATGTGCATGGATATTTTGCCTTCCTGCATGTCTGAAGAGTGTGCATACAAGAAAAGGGTGCTGAATCTTCTAGGACTGGAGTTACAGACACTTGTGAGCTGCCATACGGTTTTTGAGGATTGAACCCTTGTCTTCTGGAAGAGCCGCTGGTGTTCCTAAAGCTGAGCCATCTCTCCAGCCCCATGGGAGGCTTCTAACTAACAAGCATGTGTTTCCACCCAGAAGCATGTGTTTCCCAAGCTTAGGCACGTATACGTGTGTGTGTGTGTGTGTGTGTGTGTGTGTGTGTTTGTACACAACACCGTGCAGAGGGAGGAGGTGGAGCCTGAGTTCCCCATCAGGTCCTCCCTCCCCACCCACTTTCTCCCTTACCTGGTACAGGGAGGTATCTGGGGACAGCTGCAGGGTCACCGGCTGTGTGGGACAGCCACTAGCCAAGATGTCCTGGAGAAAGCGCTGGCAATTGGGGAAAGACAATGGGGCGTGAGCCAGCCTACATTCCCAGGCTCCCACCCCAACTCTGTCCCCACCGCTGGCAGGGGAACCCACCTCTTGGCCTGGAGCCCAGGAAGCAGGCTCAGTCTGGAGGGCTTTCACCAAGTGAGTCCTTTCCACGATGCCCACCAGGGTCTGAGACTCTAGGAAGTGCAGGGGTTCAGGGGGGTGGTTATAAAGATAGACATCACATAATCTGAGCACCTACTGTGTGCCAAGAACAGGCTAGGTGTTTCTTTTTAACAGTTACTATTTTTAGCTTATGTATATGAATGTTTTGCCTGCATCTTTTCACCACGCATACTGTGTGCCTGGTGCTCACGGAGGACAGTGGGTACTAGAGCCCCTGGAACTAGGGTCAGAAATGGTTGTAAGCTGCCATGAGAGTGCTAGGAACCAAGGCCATCTCTCTCCAGCCACATGCTGGGTGTTCTTATGTCTCAGGAAATTTACAGAACTTTCCATCTCCTGGGACACCTGACACCCCCTTTGCAGATGAGGAAATGAAGGCTGAGAGGCACAGCATTTAACTGTCCTGGCTACAGAAACCAGTTTTAGACGTGGATGTTTGGCAGCTGCGGATGGCTGCATCATCCTTGAATAGAAACCCAATAGCCATTCCTGGGCTGTTTTACGAGCCTTCCCATCTCTAAACATGACACACACATGGAAGTTAGCAATGGGTTTTATGTCCATCCCATCCATGAATAAACCAAAACACAGAGAAGCTAAGGGATTTGCCCCTGGTCACACGGCAAAGTCTGGATTCAGAGGCAGAGCCAACACCCCACCTGCCCTTTCTGCCCCGACACTCAGGGGAGATCTCCACCCTTCCTCCCAGGCAGCACCCCCTAACCCAGCTAGGTACCTCTGGTCTCCACCAAGGGATACTGGGCCACATCTGTGGAGGTCACAGCCTGGACCACTTCCTCCAGGGGCATGTCCTTGGCCAGTGTGGTGAGGGTGCAGTTCATGAAGTGAGCCACAGTCAAAGGGTAGGAGCTGTGGGCAGACGGAGGGATGTATCAGGGCCCGCAGTGGGGGTGACAGCCCCCAGGACAAGACAGGGAACCTCACTGGGAGAGGACCCACGTGTGATAGTTGACGGTTAATATTTCAATTTGACAAGATATAGAGTCATGAGACCTCAGCAAAGTACTCTCTAGACTGTATCAACAGAGGTAGAAGGACCTACCCTAAGCCAGGGCGGTGCCGTCCCATGAGCAGGGGTCCTGAACTTAACACTAAAAGAAAAGGTGAGCTGAGCACCAGCATCCCTCCCTCTGTCTCTCTCTCTGCTTCCTGATGGTGGCTATGACCAGCTGCCTCCCATTCCTGCAGCCATGCCTTTCCCTCCCCTGCTACCCCCACCCCCCACCGCCATGATGGACTGCGCACCCTCAAACTGTGAGCCAGAATAAACCCTTTCTTCCTGAAGTTGTTTTTGTCAGATGTTTTAGTGTACCAAGAACAAATACTTTTGGCTGATGAGTGCAAGATCAGGGGGACTGAAGGAATGAGTAACACACAGGACTCTGCCGCAGGAAGGAGCATAGAGACTGACTCACTATCGGGCAGATTCCGCACCCTCAGCTTTCCAACACCAGCTCCACAGGGGCCGGACCACCTAGCAGGATTCAGCTCTAGGGAATTTCTTTTGGTTTTGTTTGTTTGTTTGCGCCTGAGAGAATTTTATAGCAGGTTTGAGAGCACGAGGAAAGGCACACCCATATGACAACAAGGTAATGGGTTTAGAGCAGGCCATAGACACAGAGGATCTTGAGCCTCTGGCCCTGCTGCTGTGGGAACAAAATCTGCTGGGTGCATTGTGGTCAAGGCAGGACCTCAGACCCCATCTGCATCCCAGCTCCTGACCACCTAGCCAGGAGGGAGGAGAGGGAAGAGAGATGCGTCTCCTAGCCGGTGCTCAACCTCAATGGCCAAGCTCCGGCTCTCTCCCAGCTCTGGGGAGGTTGAGGGATGGAAGGTGGCCTGAGGGCAATTGCGGTGGCATTTGGGGGGTGTCCCTTAGCTTCCAGACCTTCCTGGACACCCCATTAGTCAGCCTGAGGCTCACCCGATCTTGCGGCCTCGGATCCGAGGCAGGTATGGCAGTTTCTTGGCCATGATGGTGCCATCGTAGAAAGAGGGCTGACAGTTTTGGGAGATGACGTTGGCCGCCAGCACTGCCATCATCACGGGCAGCGCGTGAACAATCTGGCCAGTCAGCTCGAAGGCCAGCAGCGCCGTGGACATGGTGTGGGTTACCGCCCCCGAGAAGGCGGCAGCACCTGCAGGGACAGGATCACTGTGGGTGACTCAGGCCAGGTTCACCCAGAGGGCGAGGTGGACATAGCATGATCATGGCAAGGGTCAGAGATGACTGGAGGGCACATACAGAAAACTGCTAAAACTGCCCAGGCAAGAGGGATACAGAAGGGGTGGGGAATGGGGAAAAGGCAGATCTAAGAGAGAGCTGGGAGCCAGGCATGGTGGTGCATGCCTTTGATCCCAGCGCTTGGGAGACAGAGACAGGCAGGCAGATCTCTGAGTTCAAGGCCAGCCTGATTTAAAGTGACTTCCAGGACAACTAGGGCTACACAGAGAAACCCTGTTGAGAGAGACAGACAGACAGACAGACATACAGACACACACAGAGACAGAGAGCAGAGATGGAAAGACAGAGAAAGACATACACACAGAGAGACAGACATACAGACAGACACAGAGACAGAG